CATAGGATGACAAACAAACGTCAAACTAAAAGGTCAAACATATTATGCCGAGAAGGCGACACACACACACACACACACACACACACACACACGTTTACCATCTATTTGAACTTTTTAGTTTTCAGGCAGCGCTTTTTGAATATCACAGGTGCAAACCGTTGTTTCTTTTTTGTTTGACCTGAACGAGTGCTCACACATGAGAGGCTCAAACTTAGTTCATTATGAGTTTATCATCAGGAGTGCTGTATTTTAGGATCTAATAAACGTGAGTGGGCAGGAGACACAGAGATCATCTAATGGCTCCAGTTTCACATCCACTCTCTGCCCTCTCTGTCTTTGCATTTTGACAGTCTCAACGAGCACCGGTGTGACTCATATGAATACAGACGTTACAAAATAGTGCAATGATGTGAGGAGTATGACAGAGACGGATAGCAGCATTTATGTTTAGTTCTTAATGTCTTCTAATATGTCTAGATGGTTCACTGTTGGGCTGTATTGGCTCTAAAATAATCTTTTAGGGCAGGGGTTCCCAAACTTGTCAGCCCGTGACCCCCCTAAATAACTGTGCTAGCGACTGGGGACCCCATTTGTCCCTGGAGGAAGAAAAAACATGAAATGTTGCACACAGCCGGACATGCTATTAGGCCCATCCAAACACTGACATCAGAACAACACAACAGCCCAAACCTTGTAATATTATTTTATAAATCTTTTCTAAGAAATGTTAGAAGAACACATGTAATCTCTAGAACCACTTTTTTTTTTTTTTTTGTAAATTTTCAGAATATTGGGTAAAATGTGCATTTTTTAAACCATTTCTAATTTTTACATGTTTTTTGGAAGGAATCTCACGACCCCCCCTCTCAGTGTCTCACGAGCCCTCAGGGGTCCCGACCCCTACCTTTTCGAACCACTGAGGGGATGCTGCCAATTTGGCGAGACTAGTCAAAATTAGTTGTTTCTGTCACTGACAGGCTAAGATGGTTTTTCTACGTTTCTGACAACACTGACAGAGACAGACCTTCTTGTCAGAGGAAGATTATTTTTTTGTTTTAAACAGAAGCAGACGGTGACTTTGCGCAATAATAAAGCTAATTGCAGCGATCAATGCGATCAAAAGAAAGTGACAAGTACTTCTGGTTCCAGCTAGTGAGGGTGATGATGTTTACTCGTTTAGTACATCAATTACATTAACAGTTAAAAATCTGAAGAACAGAGATTTAACTGATTAGATTTGAACAGAAGCGTGTTTTCTCGACTGACTTGTCTGTAGAGCTCCTCGTGCTGACAGTAGGATCTTTGTGTCAGTGTCGACTGATTTAAGGAAAGATGGAGATAACAGACAATCCATGGACTGCTGGATGTGACGGCTTAGCTGTTCTGAATCCAAAAGTGAAACTCAGAGGATAAAAGGCTCAAAAGGTTTTTATTGCATGCTATGAATGTAAGCAGGGAAGAAATCCAGTCTCTGTGTTGCTGTAGGTAGGTCGAAGAGTTTTGAGGGAAAAGGATCATCCCGGTGATTGCAAACTGCGACTTGAAGTGGGTGTAGTGTACGGAATGGTGGTGAGGGTGGCGGCGTTCAGGAGCACTGGGACAACCAGAGCGAGGCACAGGGAAAAAGAAAGACAAAATGACAATATTTAGAATCCAACTACCAAACAAGAAAGCACGACGACATACTCAAAAGGATTCCTAAGGGGCCGATATACCACTAAGAAGCGAAGATAAATCTGGCAGCTTGCTGGAAGACGAGGTGGGGTATAAGTGCTGCCGTTCACGAGCCAAATAGCCTGCCACTGGGAATGAAGGGCCCAGCGCTCAGGACCGACCCACACCTCTGAAACTAGAAACACAGGAACAACAGAGCCAAAAAACAAACAACATAAAAGAGCAAGAAATTAAGAAAAAATATAACACCAAAAAAATAAACCAAGAAAAATGATAAAAGAGTCCAAACCATGACACAGGAAGGAGATGTATTGAGGACAAGTCAAAGTAATGTGTGTCCCAGAGGTTCTCCCTTAAAGTGGACACTAACAGGGCCACAGGGAGGGACATAAGGCTGTGTTCATGCTCACATGCTCCTCACTTTGTATCAAACACGACAAAGATCATTGAAGTCTGAACTGCAGGTTGTACAGAAACCTAATTTTTTCTCTAGTAAACAGGACGAGCAGTGCTTTGACAGAGTTTTAAGATTTTCTTCAAACATAAAGCACGAAGAAAATTAAATGAATAAAGGCAAAAAAAAAAAAAAAGCCAAGCCTGAAAAGGACACCCGAGGAAAAAAACCAAAACGTTTAAGTCGTCTTTGATTGTGTTAAGAAACAGAGCTGTGAGCAGCAGAGCAGAGCGGCTGCAGGTTGTGAAAAGAAAACACATGAAAAAAAGCTTCCCTCGACTACATGTGTTCAATCTGCAAATAATTATCTCCAGCATCTCAACAGCACGGCTGCTGGCTGCACTCTTACACTACCTGTTATTTCCAGTGCTGCTGCTTCCTCAAGCCTTAGAAATAGCCGTGTGTTGCCACGGTAACGCTCTATAGACTGTAATACAAGAAACATACTGTCTATTCTCTGTACATAGTGTGAATGTCACATTAATGCAGTGGCACTCAGATGGAGTAATGGTTCATGAATTCTCGAACAAACAGCAGCAGTTCTAATGACCGTGTGCAGCACGGAAAGCTCGCGTTCACTGTCCTCAGCCGTTACAGCACAGAGACGAGCGAGCTGCAGGGGAAGTGAGGCTGTGCGTGGGTGAGAGTTGCTGCTGCTGATGCTACTGCAGCTGGTCCTCTCCTCGCTTTCTCTTTTTATAGCCAAACTGCTCATTTGTGTCGCTTTGACGTCACACACACACACACACACACACTTCCACTCACACAGATACAGTACATTTAGCCTCTTCTTCCTCTCTCCCTCGGTGATTCATATATAATTATTCAGAGAAGTCTCTGTCTCTGTTGTTGTCTATCAAAGTTTCAATGCGGCCTCTAGTCTGAAGGCGGTGAACGCGCACAAGCTCAACACACGGCTCTGCAATTACTCCAGCTGGCTTGAAAAAAATAAAAGAAGGTGTGGCTAATTAAAAATAATGAGCTGTGGTTGGTTGTGTGTATGTAGGCTACATTTACAGACAAAGGAGCTTTATCACAGCTTGACACACTGTTATTGTCTGTGAAGTTTCAGGTCAGCTGCATCATGAGTCTTACTGTATCTGTGTCCAGAAGCAGAGATCACATTTATCTGAGGCTTCATGAGGATCTGATGGAGTGAACGGTAACATCAGGATTTGGTCTTTTGCCTCACTGCCACCTTTTGTCAGACTCATTTAACTGTCAACAGAATATCATGAATAAAATCATGATCATTGGTTAAAAAATAAATTAAATGTCAGCCAGGACAAATGACCCATTTGGGAGGTATTTTCCTGCCTCTTACATTTAAGCCTTTTTAAAGACAGGTGACCTGCGTCATAGAGCCAGATTATTCACTGGGGTGGTGGGTGGTGGGAATGGATGGTTAACAACAATACAGGTACTCAATTCAGGAGAAGTCATGTGGAAAAAATAAAAGTCAAACTTAGAATATTTTCACTGACACAAGTTTTGGAACATATGAATAATTTAACTTCCGATTTTATCATGTGCTGGATAGTTTTTATGCCAACTGTCCGAAAAGAAAGAGATGCTCGCACACTTACTTCAAGTTTCCACCAGACGTCGTCTTCTGCAGGGGATAGCTTTTGAGGATTTTAGGCCACACCAGTACAGGGTATATAAAGATTTCTAGAACAACAGGCTGATATGGTGGCAGGCGAGGTCAAACGTGTGGACTTCTAACTACTCAAAGCGTTTTTACACCGCCGCGGGTCACACCTTACCTACACCTTCTAGCCGTTTGACTGGAGCAGGGGAAATAATTTCCAGAGACAGAAAGCTCACGTCTGAATGATCACCTGCCTGTGTTTATTTACTGCGCAACGTTCTTTCTCTCGGGATACCGACCGCGCTGACGTTAGCGTAACCTGGCCTGTCGAATTGTTGTCAATAAACCATATTCTGGTGTTGTTGTCGGCTGTTACACAGATCCTAAAGTTGAGATGGCGTTATTTAATCTGCAAAGTAATCTGTTACATGTTGCCTTAGTCCCAACACTTAGTTTTATATACTATGAAATGTTAATGTGAGGATATGGCTGAATGCTATTGAATACGTTGACATATCACCTGACCAGATTTTCACTCTCTATTTTCAGCCTCTGTCCAGTTTGGAAGCTGTGAGATGACCAATATTGCTTCAGATTTTAACCTTCAAAATGAAACATGAAAGGCCAAAACATCTGGAGTAAAAAGAAAAAGTGGATTTATACGACATTTTCTTATGTTTTCGGTTTTCATGATTTTGATGATGCAACCTTTTAATCACTTTGGAAAACTTAAACCCCTTGTTCTGACTCTTTGTCTCCTATTATTTTCTTTTGAACTTTTTTCATCCATATTTTTGCAATAATTGTCAGTAAAACAAACCTTACTCCTTATCATAAGACCTTGATAGTTAACAAGCAGAGCCTCGGGTCAGATTAGTGCAGACACATAGAAACACACACACACATATACACGTGCACATACATACACTCCCTCTCCTGCTGTTGTGAATTAATGACACAGTTCTGGGTTAATGAACTGAGCAGACTCCTGAAAGCAGATGTATGAATTAGCCAGAGAGACACTAATTACACAGCCGTGTGAGCCGTAGAGATGAATGTGTGTGTGAGAGAAAAAAAAAACAGCCATTTGTGTAGTCCACTTTGTGTTTCTGGATGATGGGTTTTCCTATGTTATGATCGTTGTTGTGCTGCATGTCAGTTCAGTGTTTAACCATGTACCATGAGAACGGTTTAGTTTGCCAGTTTGGTGGCTGGGACTCAGACGGCGGCAGGCTGGATCCTCCTGAAAGTGTTTCTCTGTCCTCTCCGGCCGCTCACCAGGTACCTCAGGACGAGTGGAGCGGCTTCTCTCCTCTGGGGAAGGAGGACGACATCCCCTGTCGGAGGATGAGGAGCGGCAGCTACGTGAAAGCCATGGCCGAGGACGACAGTGGAGACTCTGACGGGAGTCCCAAACCCTCACCGAAGATCCAGGCACGCCGGGCCAGCTACCTGAAAGCCACACAACCATCACTTACCGAGATGACCACTCTACAGTAAGCTTCCATGACCTGACCTTCTTTAGAGGATTTATGCTCATCACAAGACTTCTTTTTCTATTTGAGTTTATTGTTACCCTTCAGTTTGAACATAGGTAGTTTCAGCTGAGTGGCACCTTGGCAAGTCGAGATGATTCCAACATTACATTTTCTTAGTTTCTTGAGATGCAATGTCCTAAATGAGATAATGTGTTACACAGGCTAATTCAAGACACTTAATAATTACACGCTCTCTCCTCCCAACATGTCCTATCTCTCTTAAGCTGTCCTGTACCATAAAGGCAAAAAGGCCCAAAAATAATTCAATCTTGCATGCTGCACTAACAGTTATTTTTCCCCAATTTCAAGCATTTTAGGCCTAACTTTGTGCCTTTCAATGTCTTGAAATTAGATGTTTATCTTGACTTGTCAGGTGAATGTGGCTTATATTAAAGGTCACATATTATCCTCCTTTTCAACAAGTTTAAATAAGTCTCAGAGCTCCCCACAACATGTCTGTAAATTTTCTTATGAATCCACTCTGATTCTGTATTTGATCATGCCTATAAACCCCTCTATTTCAGCCCTGATCAGAACAGGCTTTTCCTGTGTCTGTACCTTTAAATATGTAAATGAGCCGAGTCTGACCACGCCCCCTCTCTGGAAGGGCTTGGATGGGTGGTATGCTTTCTTTTACCATGCCCTATTGTTTACGGTGAGAAGGCAGACTCAGAGGGCAGAACAAACACCTAGCTGTGGGAGTTTCACCCACCTGGGGGAGGGGTTACTGCCCTTTGTGATGTCATGAAAGGAAAATCTCCAAACAGCCTGTTTGAGCACACATTTTCTGAAAAGTGGATCAGGAAAAAGTCGAAGAGGATGGACTTTTCTCATTATTAGGGGTTTGTAGACAAGATAGAGACAGATATTAGTGTTAGGAAAACATGGTAAAGTGTATTTTGCATAATATGTGACCTTTATTAGTAAGTCAAAATAAGTATGATTGTATATATTTGACTAGAAAATAGACAAATTCACTTGTAGAGATTTCACTTTTTGCAGTGTGGACAGTTGCATTCTGCAAAGTGCAGGATGGAACTGGGGAAATGGTGTACTGGGGATTTATTTCTTATTTCTTATTTCTTATTAAAGCATGCATGTGTTAAAGATGCATGTGTGGAGGATTTTTTCTGGTCTTTTATGTTGATAAAATTAAGAACAATTTAAACAGTTTTGTCTGTGAATCAGAATTGCCCTTTTGTTTTTCCAATGTAGGTCTTTGTGAATTTATTATGATGAGCTGAGCTTCATAACACATTTTATCAAAGACACTCTTCACTTGAACAAAAAAAAACATGTGTGAACAGAACAAAACTACAGGAACAGAATAAGTGCTCAACGCAGAGTAGGCCAGAAGAGTCCATAGATGCAGTGATAAAGGTATCATGACTATAATATTTTCCTTAGTCAACTGTTATAATAATGCACAACACATTGGATTCTTCTCACTGCAGTCGTGTTACAATCAGAGGAAGCCTGCCTGGTGTTCACATTACACTGTGGAGCTCATAGAGACACAGATGGAGCTCACCGAGTGGAATGAACCTTTACTTATATCGCTAATGACACAAATAAAATGCAAGAGACTTCTCTTGTAAACTAAAGTATCATTCTGTTGAAGCAGTCCTGACTTTCTGCTGAAGGTATGCTGGGTAATTCTGCCCCTGGGGGAGGTGTAATTTTCTGTCTGATCGACAGCAGGAAGCCGGAAACATCGGCTTTGTATAATTAAGCTTTCACAGCTCTGGAAATAGAAAGAGAGTCATTACAGTGAGGGAGTCAGACTGCTCAGTGTCTCCTCTTGTTGCACACCCCTCCCTGTCTGCTCATGAATGGACCAGCTAGCATTGTTGTTGATTAGCATGTGCATATAGACTACAAGGGAGAATTGCTTGGAACGGGTCTACTTTTCTACAAACAACTCATGGGGGAATTCAGTGAGAATGGATTGTGGCCACTAATAGCTCCGTGAATTGTGCATCAATTGCCCTCACTATCAGCCCCATCTCAAGGTCCATTTCACAAAGCAGATTGTGCTAATGATAATCAAGCACCGAAAACGCTCAGATGTTCTGCTCTGTGCAGTCTCCTCATGTTTTGTTTCTGATTGTGGAGTTGAGCTGTGAGCTGTGAGCTGGGCTGTGAGTATAAAAATATGTCCCCACATGTAGGCGCAGACAAGGAGCTGGATGGGGAGGGGAAAGGTTTCCAGTTTAATGTGCAGACAGAGCTTTTTTTAAAGAAAGTGTTCTCCCTGTAACAAAAAAAGAACACTACCATACTGTTTTTTGCAATGACCAAAGTGGCAACCTCCGCTGTTGAAAATGAAGCCAATGGGGAAGTGCAAAATCCTGCAGTGTGTCAAGTGTTCGCTTGAGGCTGGCTGCAGAAGCATCGGATGTCACATACACACCCCATTCATTTTTAAATGATTTTTTAAAAAAGAGCAGAAATGTGATGTGTACAGCCTGGTTCAAAAAACTAAACTGGTCTGATTAGCTCATGTATTGTTTGGCGCAAACTGTACAGGGTGAATATCTCTGGATTCATGCATTGTGATTTCCTGAAGAACTTTGGCGTGCAGCTATTTGTCAAGAATGTTAGGTTGAGACAGCATAGCGACCACCATGGACGGGCTTCCAAAGCCGCCTGCTGTAACAGATGGATGATGTCACTCTGTAAAAGTGCGTGTGTATGTGAGACCTCTGGCAGACTGATTTAACCCCTACTTTTAACAAAACTAATTATGTCAAAATAATATTATAGACTTTAGTTACAGATGATTTAAAATGTAAGTCATAGAGAAGGATTTCTGTCCTGATCACTCAAAATGACATCCCATATAAACACTGCGGTGCAGCTACCGCCACCTCTTAGCAGACAGTAAAAATATCACTCCGACTGTGTGTGGCTGTTAGAGCCGTCGTTTGTAAACTATGCATAGTGGGTTATGTATATAAATGAATGTACATAGCAAAGGAGCACAGAGACACTATTTGCTCTGTAGTCTTTTTTGTCTCAATAACACGGGGAGTGCAAAAGCTGCACAATCCTCCTGTAAAGCAGGTCCTCAGTGTGCACTGTGCCAGATTGTTAGATGATGTTACAGATGTTTACAGAGATGGATATTTTAAGACCCAGTCCTGCAAGCAGAGGCTTATGACATTCCTCTTTAAATTTTCACATCTTTACCAAATGTTGGATTGGCACAAAAGAGGCTCTGCAGTCTTGAATCCCGTCGCACTACGATAACAACAATTTGGCAAAGGAAATGACTTGCTCTGCCAAAATTCTTGACAGCCACGTTTATAAAAACCATCTTGTCAAAACACTTACTGAATCACTTTTATCCATTCTACTTCACTTTAACACAAAGAGTCTTGAGTTATTGAAAATTAGTTTTTGCAGGTTGAATAAAAAAAGTGATTTTAGATGCAACCTGGACAGTGATTTATGTAAGAAATGTTGACCGTGTTCAGAGCTTGTTTCTAATTCTCCATGTCTGTCACCTCTCTCAGGATCTCCACGGAGCACTCCCCCAAGCTGCAGATCAGGAGCCACAGTTACCTGCGAGCGGTGAGTGAGGTTTCAATCAATAGAAGCCTGGATACCCTGGACCCCAAAACCCTCCTCGACCCCAAATCGCTGCTGTCCTCACCCCAATACCGCTCACGCAATGAAAGCTACATGCGGGCCATGAGCACCATCAGTCAGGTTGGTTGCCAGCACTGCTGAGTTTATATTCACAGCATGCCTGACTCCATCATTTTAGCAGATACACAAAAGGTTTCGGGTAGATGTGAGAGTTTCAGGTTCTGTTCAAAAGTTAGTGCAGTCTGGAAACACAAGCTTGTAACATGGTAACAGCTAACCGCAGGCTACTGACATTTTTGTCTGTGGGCCTTAAATGAAGTACCAGACAAACTTCAACAAAAAAAGATATATGAATACTTCAGTCGATTAATTCATTTATTTCTTGCTTCAATCTATTGATCAAAGTTTTATACTTTCTGTAGAAAGCCAACAGTTTTATTGTGAGTGGTCCTCATGAAAATATCTTAACAGTAGCATTGACTTTTAATGACATTTGTTTGATATAAATCAAAGAGTAGAGTTTGGGGCCTGTGTCCATTTTCTGAGCGCTTCAGTTTGCGGCTAACTGTTGCTAGGTTACAAAAGTTAACTTCAGCTTCCCTTGGTGGTCTTTAGGTCTGTTTTTTTTTCAATAGCTGTGTTTGCTTAATATTCTCTTTTATTTGAGAAACTATCATCAAGTAAAAAATTCAAATAATGTGAATGAATCATGACCTGAACATTGGCGCTGCCAGCACAAAAAATGGCGTTAGTGGAAACAGGCCCTTAAAGAAGCCCTCTGAGGAGGCGGTCACTGTTTACCAACATATACATTATTGGATTTAATACTTCACATGCCCACTCAGCATTACCCAACTGCAGCAGCAGTAAAAGGGGAATTCCCAGTATTTTTAAAACCTGTCCCCAATTTAACATAGTTTTGGGGTCAACTTTACAAAACGAATCAACACGTTGGAAAGCGCGGACCTTTTCATGGTCAGGTCTTTTTGTTTGTTGAACAGGAACACGTTAGAAACGACTCAATAAAGCTACTATTGAGCCAAACATGCAAGAGTCTTTTTATAGCCAACATGTACACGCTGCTGGACGCATTGCCCCTGAAATCACTATGAGTTGGTTGTTCACTACCTCACAGCGGGGGGGCTTTTCTCAGTCAGACAGTTGGCCGGGTAGTTTGGGATCACAGGAGGCAGGATGTGATGTAAAAAGAATGGTGGGCATTGTGGCAGATGGACAACACAATCCAACTCTATAATGAGAATTTTGGCCTTTATATCAACGTCATATGCGGTTCGACTCAGAACAGACTGGTGAACAGAAAACATAATGAAGCGGTTTCAGTTCATTCACAGAGATCACATTGGTCACGTACAGTTTATGGTTGTAAGCCAGTCACAGGACAGAAACGTCACAATCCCCCTCCTGCTCGCTCGAGGTGAATTTTCCTGCAGTGTTAAAATTGTTTTAGTAGTCAGAAGAATTTTCTAGTCTTCCGACTGCTTAAAGCACTTTTATTTGCAGGTCACACCTACACATTCGAACCCCATTCACACACTGATGGCTGATATGTAAAGTAAACTAATACCTCTCGTACACATTTATGCACCGCAGAGGAAGCAGCGGGAGCAACTTGGGGTCAAGTGTGTCTTGCCCAAGGACACATCGGATATGTGGAACCTTGTGCTCGAGAGACGACCGACTCTACCACCTGAGCCACAGCCGCCCCCAACAATTATGATTTAATTATGAAGCGTGCACCATGTTCTGTGTGGTGAAATCACACTTTTTTTTAATCCAAGGTGTCTGGAATCTTTGGAGAGAGTAATGTAACAGTTTCATCTTTAAAAAAAGACATGATACTCTTTTTTTTATATCTGAAATGTCTGTCTCTGTAGGGATCCACTCCACAGTATATTCATGTAAAACAATAACAATCCAAGCCTCAGTGGCATCAAGCCTCCTTTTTTTGGCTTAACCTTTTCTGGTTGACATTTGATTTGTTTTTGTACGATGTAATCATTTAGACTCCAAGTTATGTTGAAATAAGATTTTTAAAATACTGGACTCACCCTTTATTGGCTGCTCCACCTTGCCTCCTATGAATTCTACTCTACACTTCCTCCTGGTCGACTGTTAAAGCGATATATAGCATATGGAACAAAGCTGGGCCCAATTAGCCTTCATTCATCCCACCTTAACCTCACCTTGAACCTCTGCATGCATCACTCCCCCTTGACCCGGCTCCCACCATTAACAGATTAAATTGCCCTTTAACTCCTCGATGAACAGCTGAAATGTCCTCCTCTGCATGGATCCAACCATTAAACCCCGTAAAATTCCTTTCACAGAATGTTTGGTCTTGCCATTGAGATCCATCCATTCCTGGAAGGGTTTCATTTTGAGTACATATTGAAGACACTTTCAAAGTCGATAACTTGAGGAGTGGAATCAAAGATAAGCTCGACTATTGTGATTACCGACCAACAAGGAACATCCTTCACCTGCAGGAGTAGGTAGCATGGAAGGTCAAAATCATTTATGCGACAATAAATCTTCTTTCTGAATCTGATCCTTCATAATTCAAATTTGTATCATACTCTGTGAAATCCAAAAGATAAATACAGACAATCTGCACCCTGCATAGGTTCTTGGCTGATATAGCTCACCTGTGACTTTCTGTTTTATTCAACCTGAAATTCTGAAATCATTAATGACAAATGTAAAGTGTAATATGTTATATTATTATGTTTGTATGTGTCGCTGCTCGTTGTTTGTCAGACAATGCTGCTTCCTGTCTCGGTGAGGACTCGAGGAAAAGAACATTTGAATCTCAATGAGTTTTTATTTCCTGGTTATTTAAAGGTTAAATAAATAAATGAAATAAAAAGTAAGGCTTAAACTTTGGTAAAGGGTAGAATTATAATTCCATGAACCAACTAGTTTGTTGGTTGGTTCTGGTTTATAGACTGTATTAAAAAAAGGAATAGCAACCATAAAGTCACCGACTGCTTTGTGTACAACTGACGTGAAGCCTCCATGTGATCTCAAGTTCATCTCCATCTTGGTGCCAGAAATGACCATTTATGGAAAAGAAGGTAGATTCAAATAACTGGCTCTATGTTGGCATGTCGCCATGGTAACACCTTGTAAATCACAGATGGCCTTGAAGTTAAGCAAACAAATTCAAAAGAACATCACGCTGTGCTGAAGAAGACTTAAAACTAGCGATTGCCATAGCCATAAAATGATTAAATAAAGGAAACCAGATCCACTTCAAAGAAGGCTTATTTTGGGTAGACTTCAATACAATCTGCCACTAATAGTTTCAGATCCTGCGCATCATTCTCTCCCACTATCTGCTCCATCTCGTGATCTAATTCACAAAGCATAAAGCTCGAATGATATTCAGGCACAAACACGCTCAAAAAATGTTCCTGCTCTGTACAGTTGGCTGTTGTTTTGAGGAGAGAAGCTGTCTGCACCTTTACGCTGCTGCACTCTCAGTTCTGTCCTCATAAAGACGATGAGCCAGGACAGCGGGACGGGGAACTTTTTCAGCGAAGCCAGAAAAAATAAAACTTGCACCCTCCTGCATAACTGCTTCAGAAAGTCTGCACACATGTGGACTCCTTTTTGGATATGTAAGAATCAATGAAGGACATTGAATTTTCTTTCTCATTTTGTGTATTTATTTTATTTGTTTTCTACATATATTTTTTTAATTACAGCTTTTCTTTTCTTTTTTTTTGTATTTACATGTTCAACATAGCTGAAACCCTAGTTGAATTAATAGACTTTATGTACCCATCATTTATATTTGAGGCAGACGGAGGTGAAATTGTTTTCCTGATCACTGGAAAGTTAACGCATGACATCTCTTTTAAAGACTGCGGCGCAGTTACTGCCAACTCTCAATAAGACTTATTTCGCTTTGCTCAAACTGGACGTAGCTATTTGTGAATGAGAAGCTTTTTGCAATGAGGCTGATTTGCATAGAAAAAAGACAACTTGTCCCCTAGATGATTGCATGATGGATTATTTAAATACACACAAACAGCACCTACTCACAGACACTGATTGCTCTGCGGCGCAGTTAGAGGAGCATTTAACCCTTTGAGCTGTGGAATCTTTTTGTAAATCAGGCCCTCAGACTTCTCTTTGCAACCCGTGTGGTTTTCTCCTGCTGGTTATGAAAAGAGAATGCAAGGCACTTTCAACTGGCTTCACTTTTGAAATAAAAAGGCTGTGTCCCCTGCTTGGAAGCAGTCAGTGGTTAGATGCAGCAGGATCTTTAATTTGGAGTGAAATGCTCAAACCATGGAGCCATGAAGGCAACAGTTTGAAAAAGAGAACTGAAAACCTCAGGTAAACATTTTATTTTAAGATAATATAAGTGAAAATCATCAAGTCTATTGAATTAACATTTTTAGTACAGTTTTTAAAGTGAGGGTCCCAACCCCCTTTGGGAACTCCGGGGTCTGGGAAACTTGGAGGGAAGAGGGGGAGAAATGGAACAAAAATTTAAATAAACTTATGAAAATATTTTGTGACAGTAATATTCATTTTCAAATGCCAGGCTTTTAATTCAAAAAACAAGAAACATTCAACTTTAGCCAATTAGAATCAAACAGCCGCTCTTAATGACACTGATATATCAGAAGGTTGCTATACCATTGAAAACTAGTTACCAGGGCGCAGATGGCCTATAGAGGTGAGGTCGCGCCCACTATAAGGAGGCTATAGTCCTCAAAGTGGGCGGCCCGGGTTCGTCCGACCTGTGGCTTCTTTCTAGTATGTCATTCCCCACTCTCACTCTCAGAAAAAGAACACCAGGCAACCACACTGAACACATTACAGAATACAACAATGTCATCTAAAAACTTGTCAGTATGAGCATGCATGAGTAAAATATGGCTTTACAGCAGCAAGTTGAATGGCCATGGTGTGCCAAAATGTGTTCTCTGCCTTGAGATCCTGGCCAACGAGTCTTTAAAGGCATCAAAACATGAATTCAAGAGACTTGTGCTGCTGAACTTCCTCACTTCCCAACCTTTGCTATAGGGGACTACTGTATAGCTGATTCTTCTAATAAGTGAGACAAAACCAGATAGTAGAAGCCTGAGGGGAAAAGGTGAGGCAGTGACTGTCACACATCTCATTTTTTAAGAAACACAAGTCAAGTTTGCTCGCTGCATTGGCAAATTATTTTACTCATCACAAGCTGTTCAAGCTTTTTCTCTATGGAAATAAGAAGTTTATCTGGACTCGTCAGCTGCATGTGGCTTACATTATGTGTAATTATACTTAAAATCAGCCAAATGCACTTAGAGATTTTGCAGTGTGGAAGGTCTCTATACAATTTGATGCACAAGATGATGAGAAAATTCAGTGGCTTGGATCAGCTGACATCTAGGAGCACCAATCTGTGAATTAAAGCAGCCCTGTCTTTAACTTTAATCAACTCAACGCCTAAAGAGAATGACTAAGGGTTTATTTGAATATCTATTTATTCCTGCTTTAAGTGTAGCTCTCTTTATAGATATGAATGGGCATTAATTCAGTTTGCCTCTAGTGGTTGGTTAAGGAACTACACTTGTTGGCATCTCTTCACTGGTTTCATCTTTCAGCCGCAGGGTTTGGCACTTCCATTGACCTCATTATCTCTAACGGCAACAAGCTTTCCTCTGTGACAGACCCAACAAAAAAAATTACAGCTTCATCATTTCCCACAGCATGCCCCTCATGGCGTCTCCTCTCTTGTCCCTCTGTGTGCTCTTCCTCTGTTGTCTTCACCTTTCCCCCCTCCAGCTGAGTGAGCTGGAGCTGAATGGGCAGATCGAGCAGGTGTGTGAACAGGTCTACAATGCGTTGCAGTCCCAGGCCATGGAGGCTGCCATGGACAGCATGGAGACCATGGACACCCTGCCCATGCCTGGATGCTTTCGCATGCGGAGCCACAGCTACGTGAGGGCGATCGATCAGGGATGTGCGTCGGAGGACGAAGGAGAGGGAGGGAGGCCACTGCTCCTGCTGCCTTCCTCTCCGCCGAGAACATCTGCCACCACCGTGAGAACCATCCAGAGCAGCACAGGTAGGCTCAACAAGGATTGATGAATGATGAAGGATGAGGCTGAATGTTTTCACTTAAATACAGTTGTGGCAAAACTTTCATGCCAGAAACACATAGAGGGAACCATTGACCCTGAATCATTAACTTCTTTATGAAAGAGATGATATTAAAGGGATGGTTTAGAAGTTTGAAGCATGTTCACACATTGTTTGGAGTGTTTGACTTTAAGAGGGGTCCACACCAAAAGATCATCAGGTCTGTTCTGTTCAAGTCCTGATTTTTTGATGGTTCTAAGATGATCTTGCCAGATGTTACTGTGGCATAAGGTGTCTTCAGAGTGATCCTAAACAATTCTACATGTTTATTAGAGACGATCCAATCAACTGTAATGTGGGGGAAACACCAAGGACGGATTGTTACTTGAATTTTTACTCACCTTCCAGGGCTTCTTCAAGAATTTTCCGTAAACAGTAGTCCAAACACGATGAATGCTATGTATCCCTGCCCGTTGTCCTCCATGTTTGTTTTCTCTAAAGTCACGCTACAGGCCGTGAGAGATGAAGTGAGATTTCCGGTTTTGAGGATCAGGACTGTTCAGGACTGGTTGTTGGTGCATGAATCTGTCACTGAGACGTTTTGCTAGAAAAGCATCGCAGCACATTCCAAAATCTGTAAAATGTTTAAAAATACTTTAAATTTTTGCCAGGCTTAACTGTAAAGAAATCACAATTTGTGAGATTTTTTGCAGACCCTGTGGACAAACTGAACCTCTCTCTCATGGCTGATGATGTTAAGTATTATTCAATGCTCTCTTCCTGCTTTCATTCTGATTGTTCAGCAGAGTGTTGTAAACTGCTTCACTGGACACCCACCCGGCGTTGCCAGTAAGAGGACTTAAAAATAACTCTGGAAAATAGTAAATCATCTTCCTGATGGTCTCATTGGTCTGGCTTTCTCGCATATGAAAGAATCAGCATTCATTTCACAACCAGCAAATACTCCAGACATTACTGATATGCTTTTCTATGGCGAATTGTATTAGATTGAGTTAAGGAGTCAAACAGCCTGAAGAAAGATACTTCTCTGCAGTCTGGTGGTTTGATAGCAGGTATTGTACTTAAGTATTGTTAATGACCTATGAATGAACAAGCATTCAATGAACAAGCTGTTGTCATTTTGTCTTGATGTATTCTTTGGGCTATCTCACCTCACAGTTTGGCTGATGTTCTGTGAGGTTTTAATGTCCCACTGCAGAGGCCTCCTGTTCTGGACCGTGAACGTTTCATGCCAGCTCATAATATTTCCTGTCAAGAAATGTAATATCATACATGAATTTTGTCTCAACAAGCTCCCTGAAGAAAACACATCTGCTTCTGCTCGTTTATAGGGCGGAGATATTTGATATTACCTTGTAACACCTTGTGATTAACAACGGGTCTGTGTTGTATGTCATGTATGTGTGGCACATTCGCACAAGGTCACAACTAAGTGCTGCTCACTTATACGATCAGTTTAGTCGCTATTAAAATGGGATGCATCGTGAAAATCGCCCTTTGTAAATGTAAGATGATTTTTGTGACAGAAGCAGATTTCCTGGTGAAATCTGGTCTAAAGAAATACGTTTCTTCAAATACTTAGGTTTAAGCATCAACATGACGTTTTAAAGGCGTCTTCTCAGTGGAGAAATGCCCGCTGGCTGGTGCCTTGTTGTGAGGAAATATTGAGCTGCAGGGTGTGCTACAAAAGTTCTACGATTGTCATTAAGATTCATGCTAGAGATGGTTTTGATCGCTTAGCTAAGAGCATTCTGATGCAGCTTTTGATATTTTCAGGGTGTGTGGACAAAAAAGAAAAGAGCAGTGCAGTGTAGTATAGTGAAGATGGGATGTGTTGGCTCTGAATACAAACAGGTGATGGTCCAGACTGGGAAAATAAAAAGAGGATAACAGTGTTTCAGCCAGGTTGTTATCAAAGTGTGAATGCTCATCTGTAGCTCAATTTTTGAGACTTAATCTCGCTTCTTGAATAAAAGAAACATGTTAAATAATTTGATGTGTCAATCAAACTGCTGTCTGATCAGCGCAGTAAAAACCGACCACTCATAAAAAAACATTTTAACTTGACTTGTTCATGTATTTGCAGCATGTTTGTTTCTTTTGCAGCAGCGTTGTTACATTGGTTTTGGATGTTTGCCTTTGCTTTTGAATGTGCAGCATCTCTATACTATAAGTTGTTTCAGCTGTTGCCGAGCCTTGGCACCTATCGGCCATCGTAAGTGTAAAATGTTCTAAAATTGGTGTGAGATGCTGTTAAAATAGAGCCATAATCCTTAACATGTAGGTCACATATTGTGAAAAATAAACTTTACACTGTTTTTTCTAACACTAATGTGTTCCCTAGTCTGACTACAATTATGAGAAAAGTCCATCCTCTCCGTCTTCTGCCTGTTCCACTTTTCAGAAAATGTGTGCTCAAACAGGCCGTTTGGAGATGTTCCCCTCATGACATCACAAAGGGCAGTAACCCCTCCCCCAGGTGGGTGACACTCCCACAGCAAGATGTTTGTTCTGCCCTCTGAGTCTGCCTTCTCACCGTAAACAATAGGACATGGAGCGAGAAAGCCCGAGCCACCCAAGCCCTTCCAGAGAGGGGGCGTGGGCAGACACAGCTCATTTACATTTAAAGGTACAGACACAGGAACAGCCTGTTCTGAGCAGGGCTGAAATAGAGGAGTTTATAGACATGATCAAATACAGGATCAGAGTGGATTTAGAACAAGAAACTTCACACACATGTTTTGAGGAGCTCTGAGACTTATTTAAACTAGATCATTGTTTACTTTTACCCTCGATTTGAGTGCCGATCAATACACTTAGTTTTTGAACTGATATAGATTATGCATTCAGGTGCATATGTACACTCTGCAGTGTTCTAACAATGAAGCAGAAATCTCATAAAGATAATCCTGTAAAAGCCAAGAAAGGCGGACCTTCTGCCTGGTTAGACAAGAACACACAGGATGCCGCAGGGTAAGTTTCTGCGTACTGCAGAGTGTCGGCAGGCGGGTCTTAGGATTGTAAAGTGTCTCACTGCTGATGACCTACATTTTCCACTCCTCTGGGGATTCTTATACGGTTAACTGAGAGGATACATGTAAGCACACATAAGTGTATGTATATATATATAATTCAGTCATGCACACTGCGGCCACACTGTACAGTAGATGGTTAGCTCCACATGACTGAAAATAGAGCTGGAAGACACTGTCCCAATACCTAATGAAGTATCCACTCAGGACAAATGTTCATCTTAAAGGGTAACTAAACCCCAGAGTTTCTTTTGCAACAGAGTCGTTTAAAGTAGAGAACCTCTCTCCTCTAGCGTCTCCTGGAGGCCTTGACCATGGCGGTCCAGAGCCGGATCAGAGCGCTGAGACAGCCAATGACGAGGACAGGGAGGGGCAGGAGAGGATGGGTAGACACTGCCCCATGGAGGATTTTTTTTACACTTTACAAAAGCCTTAATTCACAGCAAGCCACTTAGATTCCATATAAGATGCTCTTGTGTTCACTGCCCTAAGCTCTGACCTCCAGAGAACGTCTGCTTCTTTTTAAAGGCTTTGTTGACCAAAGCTTGCACCCCAGACGTCACCTTCACCCAGACCACCTATCTGCCTTAAATATTCAGTTAAAGAGTGTTCATGCAAGTGCAAGCAGTAAGCTTAAATATCAACACAACACAAGTATATCTCTCAAAGACAGTAGTCAGTCAGGCTCTCCTTTGCACCTTCATTCACCATGACAAGATGTCTTTGACGCTGTTTGTGGGGAAATCTGCTTTTCTCTTTTCCTGTTGTCTTTTGATCCCACTCTCTTGTCTACACACTGAAAATAACAGCGCAGCCAGCAGGGGCTTAGCTAAGTTTAGTATGAAGACTCTAATAGGGGGTTAAAAAAAACAAGCAGCAACCTCCGGTGTGGACAAAACTACAGGCTGGCTGCAGAAGCAGCTGGAAGTCACATACACACCCATTTAAAAAAGCCAGTTTTTACAGCAGACATTAACATGTTCACAGCCTGGTATAAAGAACAAGTTTGATTTGAATAGCTCAGGTCTATATTGGCACACACTGTACCGAGGCAGATTTTTTAATAACTTATTTGATTTTATGAAGGATAAGAGTTATTCATAATTACAGGAATGGCTGAGCAGACTGCGTGCTCGTGGAGTGTAGCTGTTTGTCAATAGGCTAAAGGCCCGGCTCAGCTCCATCTCTTAGCCTGTTTCCACGTTCATCTAAAGTTAGGAAGAGTCAGCATTTGCAATATGATGGCAACACCTCAGTCTTCAAAACACCCCCGTCAGAAACCAATAGGTGAAGTCACTGAGACGACATCCATGTTTCATACAGTCTGTGGTTTAAAAGCTAGCACGGTTCTGTTCAACGGAAACATATTTAACCATTCTCATATATTTATAGCTCACATGTTAAACCGAAGTGTAACAGTATCCAGTTTTATGGTTTGAGAACATTAACTTGTTGCAGATTCAGCTGACCAAATTCAATTGATAATAAAAGCAAAATGTGTTTTTAACTCTTTAGATTCTGCTTCAAAATACAGAATATACAGGAAGATGTACAGTAAGCGAGTGGGAGGGGGGGTGATGACGTTTATTCCCTGCGACCAGCGCAAGACCACAGACTGTATGTAGCCGACCTTTGCGATCTCCTGGCGTGAAATGAAACTGCTTCTTTATGTGTTCTGTTCCCAGTAAGACACAACGACTTATAGATAGCAAGTGTAAAAAAAGTGTTATTAAAACAAACTTTTGATGAGAGAGAGAGCAGTGCAACAGATTGAAGATGTGCAAAAGCCTCAAACAAGATTATGAAAAAACACAAAAATAGAATCAAAGACACAAAGATGGGAGTGAAATGCTGAATATCTGTGCCACTGAAAGAGTGACAGAGACTGTCTGAGGTTTCAGTAGTAAAACTTAAAAAGAGGTCAGCGTGTGTA